AGTGGGACATCTGAAAACCATGAAAATATTCAAAACTTCACTTGTTCAGTATACATGTTAAGAAAAAAAGTTGAAGGATAGTTTTTGAAAATATTCAAAGCTTTACTTGTTCAAGATACATGTTAAGAAAAAAAAATTGAAGGATAGTTTTTTCCCTTCTAATCACTTTTAAGACATGGGATTTTTCTATCATAGAGCGCTCTCTGTGTATGTGGCTTCTGTTCTTGTGCTTTGTTTTGCACCTGCATGAAGGAGTTGGACATTTATGGTCTCAAGTAGAGTGGGAAACTTCCAGTACTCATAGACTAGTGGATTTACTTGTGTTTTCTAAGTTAGCATCCTTCTTGGCCTGTTCTGTGTATCACTTTTCTTGTAACAAAAGGTAAGCCAGGCTTGACTGAGAATCAGCAGAGAGAAGCTGAGAATTACCCATCTTCCTTGCTCTGTCTTGTGCCTCCTCCAAGGATTGAAATCATCAGCACTGGGAATTTGGCTGCAAATCTTTCTTTCAAGCTGTTCTGTTTTCCGAGACTGTCTGGTATTTAGTGAGTGCAGGAAAACGGCAGCAGAATGGGCATCAGCATTGAAAAAAAAAAGGAAGATGGTTTTGGCTTTGTTAAAGCAGATCCTTTTCAGCTTCTGTTTTTTACCTTTGCCTGTATTTTTCCCTAAAATATTATTTTGGAGCCTTCATGAAGTAATTAACGCTGTTTTGACATTCTCTTGAGTTCCAGATCCGAGGGAGTTAAGCTGCCCCAACACTCGAAGCCAAACGTATCCAGGATTTAACTTGCACTTAAATTAACATCACCAGTGCATTTGACTCATCGTGTTTAATATTACCAGCTGAGGATAAATTTCCTCTACTTTGGTATTAAGCAATAAAAATAAATCTTTCTTCCAGAGGCTGCTGTAATTAAGTTGGTTTGTTTTGGTTTTTTTTTTTAATTTTTAAGGAGATATTCTGTGTCTTCAGGTAAATAAATACAAAACAATTTTTACAGCCACATTTCCAGACTGATGATTAAGTTTATTAATGTGTCTGATTCCGAGCTTGTATGTATGTTTGAATGAATGCTTGTGAGCAAGCTGATTAAGTTAATGACTCTTAGCACAAATTTGTCACCTGTTCTGCTTAAGACATGATAGTGTTCTCTATTCCCCCTTTGTCAATTTGAAGTAAAGCATTTTGCTTAGAACAGTCACTTCCATCCCAAGGATCAATTTGATTATTTAGGTTTATTTCTCTGCAGGGTTTGGCATCTTGAGGTATCCTCATCAGCCAGTGTGAAGCCAGCAGAAGCAGCTGAAAAAGCCACAGGAAAAGAATGAGCCTGTGTTTCCATATCCCTCTCACTAGCTTGTACTGAATGTCTTGTTCTGAAGCTTAGCTGCTTTTTTCTCACATTTTTGAAGTTTTTAGCTCTTAGCTCTCCCTACTTGAGAGGAAGTTTCCTTACGACTGACTGCCTGGACAAGGTTCTTATGGGTTCTCACACCCCAGTCACGCCAAAGGGAAAGATGCAGGTAAATTTGGAAATGAGATGGCTAATATACATGGTAGATACATATTTTACAGAGAAATATCAATGCACAGCTGTAATAGAGGATAGACTGTCCTGTGCAAGAATTGTGTGTGTAAAGTGTCTGAGAGATCCGCAACTCTCTTTGAATATGCTGTGATTTGTGTGTTCAGTTTTTATCCTCTAGGGAGGTGTTTTTGTGGCTGCTCTAAAAATGAGAGAACTCTCAGGTCACCTTTTCACCTCAGCTGTCACCTCTGGTGAGGCTGTCCTAATCTCTAGGATCTAATCTCTCAATCTCTAATCTTCCAGGCTGTCCACCCCAGACACTCTCTCACCCAAAAAGAAGATTGTTTCTCGACAGGAGAGCTGTCTTGAAGGGAGGTGCTCCTTGGCCTGTCATTTGTTTCCATGTTTTGTATTACAAGACTTCATATCATCCAGATTCAGTCTGGTGTCAGTGCTTAGGCTGTCTGCTTTGTGATTGGATCTTCATAATTTCACAATTCTGACTTGTTTTCAAGAAAGTGCCTGTGTCTCTCTCTGTAGGTCTTCTGTAGGTGCGTAGATTATTTTCATTTTAGTTTTATGCTACAGGCATGAAAAATTCTCAGGCCAACTGAAAAAAAAACCTTTTTTGGTCAGTAACATGAGCAGAGAGAATTAAAAATAATTGCAACCCTCAGTCTAAAAGTTTACAGCCTACTGGGAATTGGAAGAGTAAGAAGAGAGTAAAAATAGGATTCATCTGTACTTTTTGTTCTCTGTGGGAATCTGTTTCTTGAGATAACAGATAAATAAACAGACTTCCAGACATTTTAACTATAAACAGGAAAAATATGAAATAAAATTGAGGCTACTTATTTCGTAGAAATGCTGACTTCTAGCTGCTATTGAAAGGAGCTGTTGTATATTAAGTACTCTGGAGCTATGACAGAAGAAATTTCCCTTTGCAAATGAAGTAAGGGAAGAGTCAGTCCCGCCGTCACCCCTAAATACACTGTTTTCCGAACTGGTCATGTAATGCCAAGCTTTTCTAATGTGGGAACAGTAGGACTGCCTGTAAATGAGGGAGTACGATACTGAGCCATGCCTGAGAGAGCCTCAAAGGTATACACAGTTTCTGGAGTAGCTTTATTGTATTCCTTAGACTTCTAGAAAAAGGTAGCGATACAGAACATTCTCCAGCTGATACTAGAACTGAACAGAAACGGAGAAAATGGGATTTCATTTCTGTCATCTTCTAGCTTTTACACATTGTATTTACAAAAAATGTCAACAGTATTTCTTTCTGTCCACTGATTTTCTTAAGTAGTTTTTCTTGAAGAAATTATTAGCTGTTTTTTAAAAAAAATATATTAATATGCTCAGATATTGTATATGTTTAAATACAAATGCAGACTTTCAACTAAATAGAAACAGCATGCCTCTTTGAAATAAGAACTGGTTTTATGTGGCTGAGTGGTTTGGGTTTTTTTTTTTCATGGTTCATTTTGAAAGCAACATCATGTATATTTTTTGGAAAATCTGTGATAACTCAATGCTTCAATTGTGAGTTGTAAGCCTGAATTTTAAGTTTTCTATCTAGACATCCACATGTAATTACTGGGGAAAAAATATTGGCATGACATTCAAGGTGCTTTTGCTTACTTAATGGATGCTCATTAACATTTATTTCCCTAATTGCATATATTCCCTTTGGTTTCAACACTCCTAAGAAAATCTAGTCAGTGATTAATAAGGCAGGAAAACATTCTGTGTGATGTTTTTGGAGAGAGAGGAGGGTAAGCGTAAGGAGAGGGGATTTCCTTCTGAAGCGACTTCAGGAAAATGTAAAACACTGTGAGCCCACTTAGGATATAAATATGCACATACCATCAAGGTTTGAATGCTAATCTTTGGGGTGTCTTGGATATGGTAATCTGTGTGCAGGAGGTGGGAGAGGAGGAGGGTGGAAGACTTTTTCAAAGGAGGATCAGGACATGAGTCATAGCTTATTTAATGCCCATCACTTCCTGGTTAGGGTGGATGTGGGAGGGTATTCCCCAGCCAGAATCTGAAAGCAACATGAAGGAGACAGCCAGTATCTATTTCAGCAGAGTCCGGGGGAAGGTGAGAGGGAGAATAAGAACACCCATTACTTTGATCATCTTTCTCACCAGAGATTACCAGTGCAGTTGGGACCTCCACAGTATTTATGGTAGGCGTGTAGATAACGGCTTAAGTGCTTTTAATAACACTCTGGAGGCTTCTCTGTCTCTCCGTTGATTACCTAGGACCCTACATTTCTGACTGAAAAGGTACTTTATTTGGATGGTAAAACGGGTTCTATGCATAGCTCTGAAGCTTTTTGCACTACCTAGCTGTAGGAAGAACACCCACACAAATAGCAAGACAAAGGCTTGAGTGGAAAATAAATTAAACTATTTTGAGTGTGGATATTAATAATTTTGTGTGGCAAAGTTGGGGTGGAAGGCATTTTCATAGTTAACAACAACTGAAGAGTTTGACTTTTACAGTATGGAAGACAGCACTGTGATGAGTGCGTAGAGTCTGTCTTCACAGCATCCCTGAACTCCAATATGTGGACGATACAGTTAAATAAAATATGTTTACAGTGTGGCATATTGCAGATCTTATTTTTCCATTCCTGTTAATAAAAAAATATGCTTTGCATCTATGTCTTTGATGCAAAATTCCATTGCTTGTAGTGACACTTTTGACCTGTGATAACATTTTTTTTTCTCTTCTATTATCCTAATGTGATTCTATTTGCACCTAATTCTGGAGTTTAATGTTAACAATTGTTAATTTAACAGACAGTGGGCTGACTTGTCATCAGCCCATGAACGTTTTTCTAAACAGCCAGTTCTGTAGTAAATATCCAAGGCCTGATGGTAGTGTTCTTACAGTGCAGCCTTGATACTTTAGGAGGTTGAGGGCGGGGAGAGGAAGGTTTCTTTTATTTTCCTTTTGATTGGTTCCTAGAGAGTTTTAGTGTGGTTTCTATCTGATTCACTCTATTTAGGAGAAATGTTGCCTCTTTATTCAACATATTCATTAATGTCCTGGAGAAGGCAGTGTAAGGGAAATCTCTGAGTTTACAGATGATACTAAGCTGGTTTGGGTACTCTAATGTTGCTCTAGTTGCAGGGAACTCCAGAAGGACTTCACAAAACTGCACGGACAGAAGCATGACAGGTAAACTCTAGTGTAGCTAAATGTAAGGTAATACATCAGAGGAGAAATAAACCAGCACACACCCACAGGATGCTGAACTGAGCATGGGCAGTTACAGCTGGAGAAAGATACTTAAGGTTCCCTGTGGTGAAAACACTAGTTGTGTGTGCAACAGTAGCATCATTTTCCTGCTGTATATAACCTTATGCCCCTACATTGAGTATTGTGTGCAGCTTTGGTCTCCCCATCTCGGGTACAAGGAAGGTCAGTGAGGACGAGGGGGTGGCATTGAAAATCATGGAACAGCTGCCCTTCGAGGAGAGACTGAAAGGGCTGAAGCTCTTCAGTCTGGAGGTGAGAGGGTTGACAAGGAGGAGTATGGTTGAGGTTTACAAAGTTATGAAGGTAGAGGTCCAGGTGGATGTGTACCTTCACTTACCAAATGCCACACCACTAGAAACTGGGATGCTCAAGGAAGTTTGTAGGAGATTCAGAATGGATGCAGCACTTCCTTATCTGGCTTTTGGAGAACTTCCAGAATATTCTGTCATTCGAGCGATGAGGGCAGACAGCAGCAGGAGTTTCAAAAGGGTTTGGACAAGTTCCTGGAGAACAGATCCATACATTGATGCTCATAGGACTAGGCCTGGATGCACCTTAAAACATCCCTCACACTCCCTCGGCTCCACAACTATCATTAGAGTGATTCACCTTGGAGAACAACTAGGCTTGAGCATTATACCTAAATAACTTCCCCTGCCATCACTGTTGTCCCCATAGTTCCGGCCTGTGTGGACTTTTTGTCTGATCTAACACGGTGTTTCTTAAGTCTGTTGCATGCAAGATGATTGTATACACCAGAGAGAAAATAAGAAGGTATATCTTGTAAAATTTAGGGGATGTAACAGGAATTATACATGTGTATAATTACATATTTTATTGTTTGAACAGTAGCGTAATTTTGTGAGATTTGTCAAAATGACAAAAAAGATGTAAGCAGTAGTTTGTAAAGAGAGCAATTTAGAATAAAGTGTGATTTATTAATTTTTTTTATTTCTTCTTACAGAACTGATTTAGTGAAGTGAAATGGCTTCTGTAAACTAGATGTTCATTCAGTTTCCTAGCCTTAGTTTCACTTTTCTGTAAGTGCTTTTAAGCTTTAAAACAAATAATCTGTCTTGGTTTATGCAAGCTTTATTGCATCTCTACCCATTGTTGACTTGGGAAAGCCAAGGCTCTTCGCTTGCATCAAATTTTAGTAGATTCTGCTTGGACTTTTTTTTTTTTTTTTTGAACAATTTATAAATGCAATATAGGTACAAATAGGATAAACTAATTGAATTGCTTTCAGTTTTATTATTTAAATGTTGATGGTTTACCTAGTGGAAAGTAAATTAATATAGTGCTCATGAAAGCAACAGCCATAGTACTTTTAAGTATGCATCAGAATAAGTGCTGTGGGAAGTGAACCATGCTTTGACACAAACAAGCAAGAATCATGCAAAGGGTCACATGTGTACTATTTTCACTGTCTGCAGTGGCCATTGGATATGTATAATTAGAGGGACACTTACATTTCCCGTTTTTCTATCTATTTGGGTAGGGGCAACCATTTGTGTAACAAAGGAGTTGTGAAGACAACTGGGGCTGTAGCTAAACCCAAATCATTACTGAGGAGGCATAGTTTGCAATTCGAGGGCTCAACTTTATAGAAAAAGAGCCTCTGCAACAAAAATAATTTCTAGTGAATGTGCAAGAAAACTAAATAAGGTTGAAGAGTCTGTTGTTTCAGAAAAGAGCATCAATGTAGCGAAGCTGTTCTTGGTCAATATTCCAATCAGTTTGTACGTACATCTGTGTTTATACAGTTCACAAAACGGGTGTCTTGATTCTGCTCATTGCAGAGGAATTCAGGAGAGCACCAGAATAATGGTGTTTATGGACAAGCTTATGACAGTGTATCAAAACAATATGAACTGAAAAACCATTTAAGGAACGAATAAAATAAAATTCTGGATTTTTTTTAATGTTGGAGTTTTCTTTTGAAATTTTATTTTCATTGGGTTTTTCCCTTTCAGAATCTGCTGATAGTAAGGGCCAGGTAATGTAATGATTCCCAGGCTATGTAAAGCGTCTCTCTTAACAGACAGCTGCTATAATGAAAATGCAATTCAGGAAGTGCTATCGAAAGACAAATCATTAACTGTCTAAGCTCCTGCTCTGCTGCCTGATTTTTCTCTCCTTGATGCCTAAACAGACTGCTGTGCCTAAATAAATATTTAAAATATTTATGTCTAGGTCAGTGTATCTTTAGCACTAAAACTTCACATTGTGTAAACAGTCTCTGTGTACCAAATAAAGCTTCAACTTTTATCTTTGCATTGAATCAGAGGAAAAACTAGTAGCAGACTCAGTATTGCGATAGGGTATAAAGGCTTAGCAGACTTTCTTCAAATGTTATAATCCAAATAGCTAGCCAAAAAGGTGGTTTGTGTGCATTACTGAATTTTATTTATTTAGTTACACACCACGTGTCAGGATTTGGCCAACAAGACAAACAGATCTCTTTGTTTAGGTTAGGACAACACCCAATTTTAACTTCAGTTCAGTGATATAAAAGAAAATGTAAAAAATGTTTCATTTGGACAATTGCTGCAGAGCAATGATGTGTGTTGTGGAAAAGACCATACCTATAAATTAGTGAAAATCCTATATATTAAATATAAATATAAATTAGTGAAAAGGATTTGGAAACCCTACTCTCTTCTCAGCTCATGTAGGTAAAAAGAGTGCTGGGGTCTGTTCAAATACAAATAGACCAAAAAAACACCTCATTCTCTATTGTGCAAAGACATCTGCATTACTTTTCCAAGTGTTCTGTTCACAAATGTCAGTTAAAGTCAGTAGATCAAAATATGAAATCAAGTATTGAATACTGCATTTTAATTTGGACTAGGATAAGTTTTGAACCATTAATTTATTTTTCTATTTGCTTCAGTAAAGATAACATTGAATAGAAAATATATGTTGCATTTGAACAATCCTTGGAAGCTCTTCTTAAAGATTGGATTATTCTCTGCCATTTGGGACATATAATTTTGGCTGAGGTTGTCTGGCGAGTTTAATCAAGTTAGCTGTTAAATAAAAGGCATTTAAGTTGTTACCGTTTCTCTAAAAGGTTAATGGGAGTCAAATCTGAAAGATGATTGTTAGAGAAATGGTCACTCAATAAAGTTACATTGTATATCTGCACGTTGCGGTGTAAAAGAAAGTGTTTCTTCCTAGAGATTTGCTCATTAATACATGGTGTGCATTTAAGTTTCAAATGTCTTACCACTTAGTGTTGGCCAAGTACAGTGAAAGTTTAACCTGTGAACATGTACTTTGTGTTAAGTTTTGAGTGGAGTGGACTTAATACAAATTTTTAACTATTCCCTTTACATATATTGTGATCAATTTGAATCCTGTATGTGCTTACTTTGCTGTTTATTTTTAAGTCTCATTGAAGGCTTTCCTGGGATTTTTGATATTGGCAGTCCCTGAATAAAATGAAATCTAATTCTGAGACACAACTTTTCAGGTGGTGTGAAACACTCAGAACTGCTCTTCAAATGTTTTCAAAGCTTGAGTGTAAGGAAAAGCCATATCCAAGTCCTAGCTTTGATTATTTTGGAAACTGACAAAGTGTCCATCCAATGGTTGTTAAAAAAAGGCCAAGATTTTAAAATTGTGTAGTTTTCAGTTTTGTTTTTGAGAACTTTGAAGTTTTTTATTCCACTGAATTAATTAGTGTAATCTTGACTTTAGTTTTTGGTTTGGTTTTAATATTTTTATGATAACTATTTTTTACAAATCAATTAATAATGAGTACAATTAACGAGTACAAACAATTAGTATAAATTATATCTTCCGCCACCTTAATCAGTCATACATACACAAATCAACGTTGAAATCACATCAGCAAAGTCCGGAACTTTAGAAAAATATTTCAGAAACCAAAACTTCTGAGCGTCTGAGATTGTATATTAATTTTTTGAGCTTCTGAGGTTCTCACAGAGCTTGTAAGAAAATTCTCAGTGAGGTGTTGTATCTCATGGACTTATTGAAGGTTCTTAGGCACAGCTTTTGAAAACATTTATTTGACTGCACTTTATTTTTTTATCCAACTGAAGCCGCTGTAGAGTACTTGACTGTTGGCTGGCATCTGCTTTATTACTTCTTGTTAACAATATTTGTCTACAGAGAAAGTGATATGCTAATTCCTTGTTCTGTTCATCTATACCGCCTCCATCCTAATTTCAATATTTATATTATTGTAAAGCTACTGGCCCACCCTCAAAACAAAAGGGGGGAAAAATAGTAGCAGTCGGTAAGAGTTTGTATTAAAACAAATTAGTTCAAACCGATGTTCAAGCTTTTTGCTGGCACAGTGTTGCAGGAAAACTGAGTGATCAGCTTGGCCAATTGTCTGAAAGGCAATCTTGTGCTGTACTAGAGAAAAATCGATAAGAAAAGGCTGCAAGGCCTGATGGTGCATTGTGAAAAGTTGTTAGAACACCTCATATGGGCTTTGGACCTGCAAGCTTTTACAAGGCTACTTGCAGCAGGCAGATTGAAAGTAGAAATGCTTTCAGTGGTTGCTGAGATAATTAGCTGAAAATATGTACACTGGTATTTCACCAGAGAAGTAATTTCACAGAATCACAGAATCACAGAATGTTAGAGATTGGAAGGGACCTCAAAAGATCATCTAGTCCAATCCCCCTGCCGGAGCAGGAACACCTAGATCAGATCACACAGGAACAATTTCAAAAATAGGTGCTTCCTCCCCCGCCTTATTTTAACCATTTACAGACTTGTCTCTCTGACATCCTTCCTCTTAGATTGCACTTCAATTCTGTGTTGCACATATGCTAAAACACATCTCTGAGTTTATTTACCAAGTCTAGCAAATTTTGTTGCTTGTGTGTGTTGACTGGGAAAGGGAGCAAGTTGGGAAGAGGAAGATTTAGGAACTGAGTTTTTAAAACTTTTATTTTGCAGAATTCTGTGGGAAATCCGCAGGATTGCATCATCGCACAGGCAGGGTCAGCCATCAGCATAGTCATTGTGTGATACCTGATAGGGGTTTTGCAGGCTGCAGAGAACGAGATAAAATACCATTTTATTAATCTGTTTTATGACTCTGAATTAATCCGATATATAATCTATACACAAAGAACAGAAAAGATTTCAAAATTGAAACTAAACAGCATAGCCTCCTCTGAAATAGAGGAGTGGCTACATTTGCTTTATTTTGACAGCTGTGTCTTTCTTCCTGTGAAACAGGAGGCAGAAGGTTTATGAAAAGATCCAGTAGAAGCCATTCAGAAAGCTTTGCACACCCTGCCCTTTAATCAAATCTGGTTTTTCCCTCCTGTAGGAAATGAAAGCAATTTATTTCTGCCACAATTTTGTTCTTCAGAGGTTAAGTCCTGTTGAATTCATGTCCAAAAGTGCCTGCTGCCGTAGACTGGAGTTGGGTGTTCTGTGTTCGGCCTGGCTTTGAAGTTGTTGGTCCTTCTACTTGTGCGTATGTAGTTGCTCATCTT